AATATTAAAACCAAAAGCGGTGTTAAACCTACTCACACGCTCACTCACTTATTACTGACTAATTAAGCTGTGTTTGAATAATGTGACACATTTTTTAGAATTAGTATCAGCCCTTGTGTGTTTATGGAGGTTTATACACACAACATGCTTTGAATACATCCACCACTCCTCATAATAAAATAACCCCTAAAAAATGTAGGTACGGGAGGGGGTGGGGGGGTAGTTTAGTGGCTTAAGTGTTCTCTAATCATGCTGGAGATCCAGGTTTGATCCCCCCACTTTGGTACAATGTGTGAAGCCCATTCCTGGTGTCCCCCGACGTGATGTTGCTGGAATTTTGCAAAAAGTGGCGTAAAACCTTCTTCACTCAATCTCTCACAACTTGTATTGAGTCAATTCTAACTAAGCCACACAGAATCGGATCACATGTTGTTGCATGACGAAGGGCAGTGGGGCAGCGTAGTTATTAAAGCGTTCGCTCATCACGCTGAACGGGGCGGTGGGGTAGCCTAGTGGTTAAAGCATTGGCTCGTCACGCCGAAGACCTGGGTTCGAATCCCCACATGGGTACAATGTGTGAAGCCCATTTCTGGTGTCCACCGCTGTGATGTTGCTGGAATATTGCGAAAGCGACGTAAAACCAAACAGTCAGTCAATCATCACGCTGAAGACCCGGGTTCTATTCCCCACATGGGTACAAAGTGTGAAGCCCATTTCAGGTGTCCCCTGCCATGATATTAATGGAATATTGCTAAAAGATGTGTAAAACTAAACTCACTCACTCACTCACACTTGCATGATGATGCTCATGATATCAGCCACATGTTTGTCTGTCTTAGATTCAACATTCCACCGGTTGCCATGACAGATTGTAATTATGGTGACAACAGCTTTAAACAACATTCTTTTACTCACTTGAATCAAAGTTCTCAACATGAAGGGATATTGGTGCACATGGAAATTTGCAAGTGCTGAAGCACATATGGTCTTCTGTCTTCGAAGATTTTCTGATTTAATTCATGACACTTAAAAGAGATGGAGGTCTTCCTTGGCTTGTTTTCCATTAATGCCTCCACCTTGAACATCGAGATCAGTGAGTCACCGCGGCAAGACTGCCGTGAAACTTCTCAGAGAATCGAAGAACTCTATGCATGGTATACACATGAATTCATCGAAAACTTTGAAGTGACGCATTCATTTTAACACTGATTTGATAACTGCACTGGAGAAACTGCCTGGGTTGAGCTCAGTGTTAAACTGCGTTTGATTCAACATTACAACTTTAAGAAGTGCAACAGTTGCACTTTGAAATATCATTTTCCAATTTCCAGAATCTGCACTTTACCATACATACTTAACATAAATGCGTCATGAGAAACTTAATTTTTATCCAGTGAAATCACCTGTTTTATCTGCTAAAATACAGTTAACGTTATTGATGTTCCAAGCTATCGAGGGCAGTGGGGTAGCCTAGTGGTTAAAGTGTTTGCTCGCCACTTGGGTTTGATTCCCCACATCAGGGGTGAAAATAACTTGCCCTGATAATTTTTCCACTATACCGGCCGTTTTCTTGTTCATTTTTTAAATAAACAACATAATTAATATTGGAAAGTCAACTGGACACCGGTACAGTGTGATATACAAATTTGCTTGCCCGACAGAAAAAAACACTGGACTCGGACATCGAGCAATGGGTTAATTCCACCCCTGCACATGGGTACAATGAGTGAAGCCCATTTCTGGTGTCCCCTGCCGTGATATTGCTGGAATATTGCTAAAGGCATTGTAAACTAAACTCACTCACATGCCATGCCATGCCATGCCACTGTTATTGGTAATTATGCGACCCATACATATTATTTAAAAATCTTTATATGATAAATTTCAATTGTTTAAATCTAATAAATATATAAGAAAGTAGGTAAGAGGATATCATGATATGTTTTTCATTTCCTCTGCTCCTAATCTGGACGTTATGAATCTGTAACGTTAAGTTTTTTGTTAAAAAAAAAATGACTAAACTTGTAATTGAAGAGGAATTTTATTGACAGACAACTTCTGTATTGCAATAGATGTGACACTTCGGTGTAGATTCGAATACCATCAAGCAAGGAAGCAAAAGTTGTGGCATTTTTGCCAATAATGAGATTTTAAATCTGTCATTAAAACAATAACTTTCTTATTTATTAACAGTAGGATTAAACATTTTTAAATGGCCTGTTATGTATTAGCAATAATGTTTTACAAGCTGATATTTTGTTTTATAAACATAAGTTTCATCTATGACCTCAGAGTCTCTAGGAACTTGGTGTCACAGACAAACGCTTAGTCTCTGAATACAAATAATTTTGATAGAAACAAACAATTCCTTTTTTAAATTGAAAAGGAGCCCTGGTGAGTTGGGAGATTTAGACCCTGAGGAAATCTAGACTTGCTTCATTAGGTCTTTAGCAGAAAGGGCTGGACGGAACGGACTGTGAGACAGACCATCCATGTCATGGCAGTAAAAGCTTCTTACCCGTGAAGATCCGGGTTAGAATTGATCTTCAGCAACCCATGCTTGTCGTAAGAGGCGACTAGCGGGATCGGGTAGTCAGGCTCGCTGACTTGGTTGACACGTGTCACCCGGTTCCCAATTACGTAGATCGATGCTCATGTTGTTGATCACTGGATTGTCAGGTCCAGACTTGATTCTTTACAGACTGTGGCCATATGGCTGGAATATTGCTGAGTGCAGTAAAACTAAACTCACTCACTCAGTGAAAGCTTCTGGTTGACTGGTGTTGAAAGAGTTAGGCAATGATTTGATAAACCACAGAAACTTCCTGTGTTAAATCCAACATCTTAACCAACATCCGACAGAACATCTCCATGTTAAACCATGCTCAGAAGTGCCCCTGTAACCCCATCGGAAGATCATCGTTCCCAGGTCTGAAGTTCCACATTCACTTTGAAGTGACGTACACATTTAACGGTGTCTTGATGAAAGCACTTCAAGAAACCTGGTTGTATTGAACCCTACATCCAACCTTTAATTGAACTTGTGAAAGTTAGACTCAGAAGCTTAGTCTGTAACTTTGCCACTTGTCTGAAGCCCGAGTCTAGTTAAATCCTGTTGGGTCTCATAAGTTCAAGCCAAGGTAGTGTAAAACAATCTTGAAACGTGATGATTTTAACAATGTTTGGGCTTGTAGATTTCAAAGGGCACAGATTTTAAGTTCAACAGGTACCACCTTGAAATAGTATGGGAAACTGCCTGAAACTGAGCAAAGTGCTCACAGAACTGACATTTACTGTTAACATGGATTCATAAAAAGCTTTTTATGGAAACTCCAAGTGTTTTGGACGTCACTTGTTTTTCTGTAATAAAACCAGACCGAGCTTACTTTTTTGTCAGTGAGACCCCTTCCTTGACTTCAGGTTTTACTTTTTGTTAGTTCAACCCCATTCCGATCTTCAGGTTTTACTTTTTGTAAGTTCAACCCCATTTCAATATTCAGGTTTTACTTTTTGTTAGTTCAACCCCATTCCGATCTTCAGATTTTACTCTTTGTTAGTTCAACCCCATTCCTATCTTCAGATTTTACTCTTTGTTAGTTCAACCCCATTCCTATCTTCAGATTTTACTTTTTGTTAGTTCATCCCCATTCCGATCTTCGTGTTTTACTTTTTGTTAGTTCAACCCCATTCCGATCTTCAGGTTTTACTCTTTGTTAGTTCAACCCCATTCCTATCTTCAGGTTTTACTCTTTGTTAGTTCAACCCCATTCCGATCTTCAGGTTTTACTCTTTGTTAGTTCAACCCCATTCCGATCTTCAGATTTTATTCTTTGTTAGTTCAACCCCATTCCTATCTTCAGATTTTACTCTTTGTTAGTTCAACCCCATTCCGATCTTCAGGTTTTACTTTTTGTTAGTTCAATCCCATTCCGATCTTCAGGTTTTACTTTTTGTTAGTTCAACCCCATTCTGATCTTCAGGTTTTACTCTTTGTTAGTTCAACCCCATTCCTATCTTCAGATTTTACTTTTTGTTAGTTCAACCCCATTCCTATCTTCAGGTTTTCTTTTTGTTAGTTAAACCCCATTCCAAGAATGAGGGTTTAACATTTTGTTAGTTCAACCCCATTCCAAGAATGAGGGTTTTACTTTATGTCACTAAGAGTATTAAGTTGTACTTTTTCTTTGTAAGACCTGTGGAGTACAGAATCAGGGGAATAAAAACATCTAGGTTAAGAAATGAAACTCATTCATTATGGATGACAGGAATCAAACTCTACTATTGAACAGGAGTCACGCACTTGGACCGCTGGGCCACAGAACTGGTTAGAAATGTCATTAGAAGTCATTAGAAGTTACCTGGTTAGTGAATATTTCCTTGCCAGATATGTTTTATAAGCATTGTTTAGGATGGTAATTCATTTTTTTACAGAATATTGAGCAAATAGTAAAGAGTGATATTTTAATAGTTCCGAGGAGTGATTAAACACTTTGGACAGTTGTGAAACTGGGTGAATAAAACTTTGGGTGAATCCCCTTGGTTTTATGTGATCAGTCGCTGCTTCTTGAAGTGTTTTACTCCATCAACCAGAACTTAGGGGTTGTTTCATCCTCTAAATTGAAACCTACCCCTGTCTGAAACAGTACACTTTGATGTGACGTATACATTAAACAGTGCTTTTATGAAAGCACTTTGAGGAAACCCCCAGTGATAATCTCACGATCAAAATCACTTTTTGATTTAAGTTTACAATTTTAATCCCCATTCAGAAGAGCAGCAGTGACCACCCTGAATGATCTGGTCCCTGATGTGAAGCTCAGACGTGTCGCTCAAGTAGATTCTGACACTGGTCTAAGAGACTGTGACACATTCTCATTCTTGTAGTTTCGCACCTCGTCCCATCAGCATCGGGAGCCAGCATCAGTATTGATCCAATACAAGCTGTGCCGAGGACCAAGTCTCTATGCCGTCAATTACTGCATCTTTCGTAGTATCCAGAGCTCCGTTCCTGTGCTCCGTCGAGAGGTGTAGTGAAAGAACGGTGCGATAGCTTGTTACAACAGCTCGACAACTCGTTCGGAGCTCGTATAGCTTCAGTGTGCTCTTCCCATAGCGTTGGTTATACGACTCATTTGCATTGTCGTAGCATTGGCTGTGAGTTTGACGTTGGCCCTATGATCAGACTTCAATGCTACAAGTGGCTTGTGAACAAATGGTTCAATTGAACTAAGGTGCTCGCTGCCATCACATTGGGTCTGGTGTTTCACGGACGGACATCGGTGGATCGTACAGAGTGGTTTTGATGAGTTAATTGCATATGTGGATTTTGGATTGGAAATATTCCCATTGATCAGTTCGTGAGTTGTGGAGTTTCCAGCACTGAATAATGTAAGGAATTCTTTGATCTTTTCACAGAGATTATAGATAAATTCTTTGTGTTTGATTTTCAATAATCTTTTAGAATGAAATGTTTGATCATGAATCCAATATTGATTTTCATTAAGTTTCTATAAATTGCAGTTTTATCACTTTTTCAAATTTGAAAATGCTTTGAGGTGTAATATTTAAAAATGAAGTGTTACTTTTGTAATAATGTTTCCGTTTGATTGTCTTTCATCATGTGAAGTGAAGCTTTTCTCATGGCAAGATAATAATCATATGAGATTTAATATTATCAGAATAATTCACACCTTGACAACTCATAAAACATTGACATGTTATTAACAACAGAAGAGTGTAATTCAAATTACATTCTCAACTCCCTGGGGAGAGTTCATTCAAACCCGGATCCTAAACTTTCAATAAGTGCATAATCCATCAGAACTTCAGATAAACTGAAGTTTAAGTTAAATAAGCATTATTCAATTTATATTGAGTTTGTGAACAAATATGCATAAAATATAAAAAATAAACAATATGTAATAACACTTAATAACATTTAGTCTCAGAAATAAAGTTATTTAAAAATATATGTTTGAAAAAATAGACAAATACATTCCTAAAAGAACCAGAATAATACTTAATTTCAGACAGAGGCAATCCAGACTTGTCAGATTATTCTAGACTTTAACTGGTCTCCATTTGATATATGTTTTCTGAGGTATGGCTGACAGACAACACTGCCAGATGTGGAGATTAGTGGTGGTCCGATTAATTGAAATAATCGAAGATTGGTCGCAATGACAAAACGACCAAGCAATCGATCATGTTTTCTCATAATCGAACACAAACAATTTTGGACCACTTGTTTGCAATAACAATATTTTTCAAAAGGTTGATTTTGTCTCGACATTGCATAAGCACTACAAGCTCGTTCAAAGTCATGATTAAGTTTATCTTAACAACTCCAGGAAATGTATGTTCCTAACACACTAGTCATCATTTAAAGATGTGAAATTTGCAAATACATTTTGTGCAATTTGCGAAAAAATCTGAGAGAACTACATGTTTTTTCTTTATTTTTTGTGCATTAACAAAAATAACCAGGAAAATTTGATAAATGACGAACTAACCAATTATTTTCGTGGATGATTGACTCGGTTGTAATGTATAACTTTACAATCATCATGGGCTCTGGGATGGCATAGGGTTTGTTCAGTTACACCAATTCCCAACACTATTTCTGTGGAGATACCTAGGTGTATTGCTTAAAAGTAAACTCACTCACTATAGTTGTGATAATATGCAGTATATATTTCTTTACAGATCTATATTCGATGGAAGCAGTCAATTTAAGATGTGTTTTCACGGTGCATAAATACCAAACAGAGGGTAAAAATATAATGTTCATGAAAGGATATGGTGCTGAAAACCCTAGGGTTCAATTCCTGAAAACCTGAAGTTTCAATGGGCACAATGTGTGAGCCCATTTCTGGTGTCCCCACCATGGCATTGTTTGATATTGCGGTGGAATATTAGTTGCTGAAGTGCAGACATCAAAGCTATACTCACTCACTCACTCACTAAAATTTGCTTAGAATACTGAAGATGTTACTCATTAAATATATTATCGAGATATGAATTAATATATTGATAAACAAAATTATAAGATCTGGGACTAACGGGATCAAGTGGTCAGGCTTGCTTGGTTGATGTAAGTCATCGTGAGTGAGTGAGTGAGTTTAGTTTTACGCCGCACTCAGCAATATTCCAGCTATATGGCGGCGGTCTGTAACTAATCAAGTCTGGACCAGGCAATCCAGTGATCAACAGCATGAGCATCGATCTGCACAATTCGGAACCGATGACATGTGTCAACCAAGTCAGCGAGCCTGACTACCCGGTCCTGTTAATGAGTGGGTAAACATGGGTTGCTGAAGATCAATATTCTAACCCTGACCTTCACGGGTTTGTAAGTCACCGTAAGCAATTTAGTAGATCAGTGCTTATAATGTTGGTCACTGGATTGTCAGGTTCGGACTTGATTATTTACAGACTGCCATCATACAGTGAGTGAGTGAGTGAGTATGGTTTTACACCGCTTTTTAGCAATATTCCAGCAATATCACGTCGGGGGACACCAGAAATGGGCTTCACACATTGTACCCATGTGGGGATTCGAACCCGAGTCTTCGGCGTGACGAGTCAACGCTTTAACCACTAGGCTACCTCACCGCCCCGCCATCATACAGCTTGAATATTGCTGAGTGTAGTTTTTACAACAACAAACAGAAATATTAATGAAACGGCAACAACAGATGTCTCATGACCGAATCCAATGCAAAATGAATCTGCCCTAATATATGCAACTCTAAATTAAAAGATTCTATCTCTCATACTCCATCAGTTACAATCAAACACGACTGCTTCAAACTTTGATGTGATCAACTTATGTTTGTCTTGGAGGGAGAAATGGTCACTCCCCCTTCCCCTCCTGGTCATCCTTTTGAAGTTATGTCACACCCCGGATAATGATAATAATAATAATAATATGGCCACTTATATAGCACTGAACTCCATGCCACAGGGACATGCTCTAAGCCCAAATCACGTAATGGACATTATTACCCTGGATAAACCAAGCTGCCTCTCAGGCAATAGGTTAATAGTCAAATGACATCCCACCGGGTACCCTTTTTCGGCTGGGTGAACAGGGCATGGTGGGCGAGCTGGCTAAGGTGCCAGGCTAGTGATCCAGCGAGCTTGAGGTGATGGGATCGAGCCCACCTGTGATCGGGTGTAAACACCCTGAAGTCAACTTTGTGTGCAGACTCTTTCAGTGTTGTCACAACCCCTAGTGTACAGTACAGAACGCTGTGCACTTAAAAGAACCCACGAATCCGTTGGTATATGACCAGATGGTGGCCACATGAATACGTGCAAACACCTAGTTGCATGTACAGCAACATGCAGTAAAACTAGGACAAAGTACTGTGACTATGTGTCCAAGTCCACCCAGCTGTGAATAGGTAACTTGTAAGGATGGGAAAGCCACACAAACTCGGTGCGCCTAGTGGCTGCAAGAGTTGTATGATCCCCAGGGAGTTGAGATTGATAATACGACATGCCGTTGAGATTGACATCCAGTGATCGAGGGATAAACAAAGCGCCTTTGAGCAGCTGAGCTGGATATTGGCGCTATACAAATGTTAGCATAATAATAGCATAATAATAATATTTGAACAAACGCACTTGCCTTGGGTGAAACCACCTGTGTCACGTGTGATTCATTGTGGGTCAGTCCTAGAAGCTCACAGGAGTCAAACTGCCAAGCACGGTCACCCCTCCAAGGACTCTCCGTGACCAACGTGGCTTAACTTCAACTGATTCTTGACCTGGGCGCTATGCACAAAACCACACACCACCACTAAGTCCAAGTATTTTTGTTTGGCCCTTCATATGCCTCTGCATGGCTGATGACCATATTTGTCTGAAAGATCAGGTGTTTGTAAACATCTTTGGGCGGTATGCTCCTGTAAACCATTCAGTATACAAGCTAAGTTACAAATGTTCCTTTGAAGGTAATTGATTATATGAAAAGAATTTGCTTCTCAAGGGTTGAACAAAACAAGTGTGGGAAGTTTAATCTGAGATATTGATCCCATCGCATGCATCTTGCAGACATCCCTTCAACTTCCTTCCGAATTATTGATGTAACTCAACCAGTAGATTCCTCCATGTACTTCACTGCTGTGTTCGGTCTTCTCAGTTTGTAGTTCAGAACTGGTGTTCGGCAACCCATGCTTGTAGTGCGAGGTAACTCACGATATCAGACCTTCTCAATTTAGCAGTTCCGAAATAGTCTTCGGCAACCCATGCTTGTAGTGTGAGGCAATTCACGATATCAGACCTTCTCAATTTAGCAGTTCCGAAATAGTCTTCGGCAACCCATGCTTGTAGTGTGAGGTAACTCACAATATCAGACCTTTTCAATTTAGTTATCCATCACAAGGATTGTCTGACCCAGACTTGATTATTTACTGGCCATCCTTATCACAGCTGAAATATTCCTCATCTCAACATTTGGTTGACAGATTATATTTCTTAGAACCTTTGATCAGTGGTCGAAATAAAAGAATAATAAGATTGGACACTTTGATGCCTTATGTTTTTAAGGCATCATTACAGAGCATACTAGGACAGAAATGGCATATTTTTTCAAAATCAACAAATCTGAAAGATCTGTTCTCCCGCGTGAGAAGCTCATCTGATAGTGAACTATAGTCCGTTTGGCTCAAAAGCGGACCGATGAATTGCAATCTAACTCGGAAACTTAGATTATAAAATACTTAATGAAACACTGATCATAATGAAAACGTCAGACCAACTCTGAGAGGTGTTTGCAGAATTTATGTCCTAAAAATAAAAAAGTTGTTTAACAAACTATCATTAAAATATCGACAAAGTTCACTATTTGTTACGAGGGAGGAGTGCAGAGAAAGGGACAGACGGGTTTGCGAGAAAGGATGGAGACGGCACAGCACAGGTTAATGAATCAATAACTTTGTCGGCACTTGTGCACGTGTTTCTCTATCACCTGGCTGTCCCTTTCTCTGCACTCCTCCCTCGTAACAAATAGTGGACTGTGTCAATATTTTAATGATAATTTGTTAAACAACTTTTTTAATTTTAGGACATAAATTCTGCAAACAAATCACAGAGTTGGTCTGATGTTTTGATTATGATCAGCGTTTCATTGAGTATGTTATGTTTAGTAGTTTTTGAGTTAGATTGCAATTCATCGGTCCGCTTTTGAGCCAAACGCACTATACCTGAGTGAAGTTGATCTGTATCATAAATTGTAACTGTGTAATGTAACTAACATATTGCCTGCTTTTCAATTTGGTGCTGTGACTTTTTTTTGTTTTTAAATGACAATATAATGAATATATGTTTTTGACATACATCTCATTACAACTCTGTACTTACAATGTTTATTAATGCAAACT